GAATATACAACATAACTTTATACGGTATGTATTAAGTTCTCAGCCTACAGTTTAAATTTAGTTTGGAGCTAATTATACATTTTTCTTTAGTATAAATTTATAAAGAATTTTATTCGCATTCACTTACAATTATGTTATATAAAGAATTCGAAAAAAACTTTCAGCTCTTTTGATCTGATAGTGGTGTGGTTTATTTGTAAGTAAATAATAAATGGGTGGAGATTATTTGGAAAAGACATGTATACTGTTGTAGTTTGCTTGTTTATAAATGTATTTTGATAAAATGTTGTCATTCTATATTTTATACATATTATTAACATTTTTCATAAAATTACCCTTCCATGTTGCAGCATCTCAAATACTCATTAAATCCAATGTCAATTAAATAGGAAATAAATCTAACAAATTGCTGGAATTTATTTTAGTAAAACTTTGATCAGACAAATGGAAATTCGTTTGGTCTGCTGATTTGCTGCAACGGGGTTAGTATAGTGTGTATTATAATAAAAAATCTAACCCTATGACTGCCAAAAAAATATCATCGTAACTTTTATGGACCTAAAGTTTCATGCAAGGCATTTTACTAAGGTGATTGTTTATAATGTAGCAGTTATTTATTTTCTCCTTACAGTATTAGTGCAGTAAATATAGTGCTATGTTATTTCGGAGTAGATGACAAAAAAGAGGAAGAAAACTTCTTGTAAGAAAATTGTGAACAAACATTAATACGTTCAAAAGATAACCTTATGCTATAAAATATGTTTTTAGTTTTACTGTCAGTACAGACACAGGCTATAATCTGCAATAACAGTAAAGTTATATTCTCTAGGTACTAAAAGGCTATAGTTATGGTAACTCTACAACTGTATTGGTGTACTTAAAACAATCGCCATCATATTGTTTTATGTGTTCACGTTGTGTATAGCTTTAATTATACTAAGTATAGATTCGATATTATTGTGTAGGTAGTTATTTAGGAGTTATAATTTATTTTATTCAATTATTATCTTGCATCACAAGTTTGTATTGTAAGTCAGGCACAAAATTAGGGAATACAAAAAAAATAATTATTAGCCACAGTATGCAAGGTTAAAAAGTACACATTAACAAGTTTAAAACTGGAAATTACATAGACGTTTTTAATCATCTCCAGACGTAATATTTCCCATTTAATTTACAGGAGTTTAAAGCACCATGTTTGTTCTGTAAGCGTAGTTTAGACCTTAGACATAGACGATTCTAATCATCTCCAGGCAAAATTATAATGATTTGACGTAACATTTCCCATATACGTAGGGAAATTAAAAGCACCATGTTTGTTCTGTAGGCGTAGTCTAGACATTAGTGTCTCAAATTACAGTCTTGAGCTTGTCTGGTGAGATTCACAATCGCACGCGATATTCGATCCGAACAAACGAGGTTGTTCCGACAGCTTTGAACAAAACAGCTTTTCATGGAGCAGACATACAGTCTACGTTTCTTAACAACCTGAGAAACAAACATTACTTTATAGCCTTGAATACTCTCTATTGCAACATTTGCATATTTCTAACAAAATATATTTTATTTATGTACGTGCGCTTGCCACAATACGATTATTTATAAATAGGAAATTAATTTCCCACTTTTAATACCATTTTATTCCATTACAAAACTAAATTATTTTCAATTGGGAACAGTTTTTACTTAATAAAGCAACTTAATTTATAATACCTCTTAAACAGGATAATCCATTTAGTACGAGGCGTTCTTAATCTGGGAATGAGGTCGTCGACCAATTTAAGAAAACAATTTGGGTTTAAACGCTATAAGACACATACTGTTAAGTTTCAAAACATTTTCTAAAATACTTATGCTAAATAATCTGTATGAAGAAGTTATTTGTTACTCTATTAGAAACGTAGAGACGACTTTTTATTTCTTATCAGAGGATTTTTATAAGGTCATATACAGAATGGACCACGTAAAGATTAGTCTCAAATAGATAAGTGATTTCGTAAAAAAAATAAAGTAATAGAATACCAAATGTTTCAAAGTATACTAAAACTAAGATGTTTATGACGAAACTACACGTTAGAATTAAAACATCAAAAATATGCACACAGTGGTGTTCATTTAGTGGTGTTAACATTAAGTGTTCGCTACACTACTGTGAAATAACTTGATTTCGTTAAATGTTTAATACCTGTGCCAATTCGCCATTGCATTGTTTACTACTGAAAAAAGAATGTTTACTGTCTGTTTTAATTAGGAAAATAATTAGTCTTTGTAGTGTAGGGAAATCAAAACACTAGTGAACGTGGTTCTATGCATATTGTTGGCCATTTATATGGCTAGATAAATCTCGCACGTCAAACATGGTCTCAAATATGTAATGACCCACTTTCCACTCTTGTTATGAAATATACCATTACTAACCAACTACTTGTTAGTAAACACAAAACACATTGTTTACCTATTTACAAATTTGTCCTCCCTTATCAAATATTTATCAGCCATCGAGGTCAGAAACAGTTATCCCATTACGAATGTAATTAATTTATTCAATGGAAATTGATTCGATGCATTAGTAACTTTCCCGATAAATCACACTCTTTAATTAAAAACTCAGCAGTTCAAACTTTTGCATTTAATTAGTTTACATTACGATTGGTTACAATCAATTCCTGTTCAACGTTTGAAATTTCTGCAATTGTAAGCAAATAAAATACTTACTTGTTTTTACTTTAATGAAAATAAATAAATGGCATTCGCCATAAATTAATTTATAGATCTTGGAATTACTATATTTAACTTATTTAGGAAATAAATCCTTAGCATTAATAGTTCAGGTCTTTATGAAGTAGGTATTTATTTAAATTTACACATTGAATTTACTTTATGGTGTATTTAGGTGTACAGTAATCATTACTGAAAATATTGTATTGCTATCAAAGTTTAATTTCCAGGGTTTAATTTATTCTGTGTGCCAAATGCATATTATTTTAATAAGCTGAAATTTGTGTATAATTTCATGCATCGTTTGTAGACTTGCATAATCCATGATAAATAATATTTTGTTAAACAGCAATTGATTACTAAGATATTTTAAAAACGTTTTTGTAATACTCTTGTTGTTTGGGTTTAATATTGTTCTAAAATACTGTTTTTTAATTAGAACAACAAGTTTTTATTGGTGTTAACCCTTTGAGGTCGAATTTTTTCCACATTTTCCGCCGAATTTAGCTTGCCATTCAAGCATTCAGGAAAATGGCGCCCAGCGACCTATACTCGCCATTCGACCAACAAAACAAACTTTTTTGATTTTTGAATATTTTTTTTGGGGGTCCTTGTAGGTTGCCATTTTTGAGCAGTCGGTAAAATGGCGGGCGGCGACCTATTCTCGCCATTCGACTACAAAGGGGAATATCACTCAACACAGTTTTTATTTGGACTACGTGTACTATAAAAATAATCATGCCGAAATGAGGAGTTTTTGTCATTACTTAAACTTAAAAAAAAAGCAAGTACTCCCTTACAAGAGTACGTCATAAATAATGTTTCAAACATTTATTTTGGGTGATTTTATGTATTTTCCTAGTGGCAAGAACTAGAATATTTAATTTTTTAAATAAGTTACCTAAATATGAAGATATGTAATATGAAGATGCCACACACTGTGGTGAAATATATTGGAGAAATATAACTTCATCCTGCAAGAACAGATGCTTAAGGTAACTTAGTTAAAAAATTAAATTATTTTGGGTATTTAAAAAAATTATTTGGGTATTAAAGTATTAATAAGAACGCTATTTACTTAAAGACTATCGCTCAATAAGTTTTAAATAATGAATCAAAGCTTTGCATATCTACAGCTTATGTCCAGATAAAGGATTGATTGCAATGTAACTCATTATCTACTTGACAGTGAGTTTATTCCGGTTTGAGCCAATAACACAAAGCAAGATCAAAGTTGCCGCCTTGAGGCTCAGAGTTGAGAGATCTCAAAGCGAGATCTTGCTTTACAAACTACAGAGACAGCTTTGTACATGAATATACACTCTGTCTTGGGGTTGGAGGAAGTTCTGTACGTTTCATATGACAAAATGTTAAACAAGTTTGCATTTTTCGTGGGAGTTAAACTAACTCGCATGTAATAGATTCGCTTTATTAAGGAGTGCCTAAAAGCTTTATTTAGTTTTTAGATTTGATTGGAATTAAATATTAGGGAACCATAACGTTTATGTGAGCAGTGGAAGCCAGTTAGACGTATTTAATGAATGAGTCTTCAAAATGTTCATGAACATTTGTTTTTAATATATACATTCTGGTTTTAATGGATTTATATGATTTTAAAAGTGAGGAAGTAAGAAGTTTTTAATGTGGAGGATTATTTTGATGACTGAGAGACACATTTTAGCTAATTTCCCCAAAGGGAAAAAGCTATCACCGTTGGCAGCACGGGAAGACCTAGACCCAGGACCGATTTACTTTATCATTTTCATGTCGTCAGAGGCCAAACCTTGTTCGCGAACCCGAAAACCCAAATAATTTCGGTCCAATTTTGATGTGTTCGTAAACCAGCAACATCGGGTCATAAGGATGGGAGGCAACCGTCACGAAGAGCTTTGGACACATTGAAACATTGTTATATGATTTAAGGTTACGATTAAAAGAAAATAATAATAAATAGTACATTTTTTTTCGTTAATATTATGGAGAACAATAAAGCCGTTATTGTTCGCTTGTTTACAAATATATTTTAATCAAATCAGGAAAATTTATTTTTTTCATCCTAAACTATTAACATTTTATTAAAAACACTGTTCACCCCTTTTTGTAGATAAATCTCTTTTCTCGTTCGTTTTATACTGATTGTTTCCACATTATGTATTACTATTTAGTGGAGGATATATATTTTTCCTTTTACTTTGTCTGTGGTCACTAAAACTAGGATTTTAAAATGTTTTTATAAAGGCTCTCTCAAAATGATTGTGTTAAAAACTACAATCTGTTCTCAGGTGATGCGAGCAGTTTGAAAGGGCTGCGATTGGTGGTCCCGGAGGCGGTGAGGAGCGGAGAGATGGTTAGGCTGGCTTGCAACTACGACCTAGAAGGAGCCTTCCTGTATAGCATAAAGTGGTACCGTGCTGAAGAAGAGTTTTACCGCTACCTGCCTAAGGAGGCCCCACCTACCAGAGTTTTCCCCTTACCTGGTATACATGTTGATGTGAGTATCTTGATGTATTTAGTAGTGCAGCTGCTATTTAGACCAGGAGGTGGTGTTAATATCAAACATCAAGTAGTACCGTGCTGAAGAAGAGTTCTACCACTACCTGCCTAAGGAAGCCCCACCTTCCAGTGATTCCCCTTACCTGGCATACACGTAGACGTGGGTGTCTTTATGTATTTTGTAGTGTATGTAGGCCCTAGTTGATGAATAGACCAGGAGCTGTTGTTGTCTAATATAATTTTTCTCCAGGCCAAGTATAATTATTACTATAAAACTATAGTATTGTTTTTTACCATTAATTCCATTTTAAATTTAAATAATAAATATCGTATTTCAGTGACTTAAGTAAGTCATAAAGTCATAAGTTATTCAGCAAAATTGAAAAAAATGCATTAGCTAGTCAAAACATAATGAAATATCTACATAAACTAAAAGAATTTTTGTAACAAGTAACAAGCTCACCAAGTTTGACACGTTAGTCAGCTCCAACTGATACTTAAATGTTATAAACAAAATGATCAAGAACTTCTTTCCTTTTTAAAGTACATATGTAAATATACATATATATAATATGTACATATTATAAATACAATGCTTATATGCATACATATAATGCCCAGGACGCTTTATCAGCAAGAGTATTACACTTTTATAGATTATATATTGACACCAAGATCGTGAGTGGGGGTAGGTTCATTTAGTTACGATATTTTTATAGTACAGAATTTGGGAATTCTTTGGTGGAAATTTAAGCGTAAAAGTAAATAACACACTATAACATAATATAATATGTTATATTGTTTTTTTACCAATCGTGGTAGAAAATGCCCACTTTAATTCTGTGGATAACATAATATTGCTTTCAATCTAAAAAAAAATCTTTTGGGACTCTATTGTCAAGAACCGACTCAATGTTAAACCACATAAATTCCAAATATTTATATTGCAATGATGTGAAACATTTTGGTTTCAAACGCATCAAATGAAACTTCCAATAGACTCTGTTTTGTGGACATAGCTGTCCTAGCTGTGTTTACATGTCCAGTGGAAGTGTTGTCTCTGCTCCTTTATCCTCAAACCAGATATTTGTAGGAGTTAAATACAGTGCATTGTAACTACTATAATCCAAAAATCTCCCAATATACCCGTACTTTGATATTATCTTCTCTGTAATACCACCTAGTCTATATAAACGTCTTTGGTATTTTGTGCTATCCCTTTATCCACTTTGTATATTTTTATTGTAAGCTCATTGAACTAATGAAAACTTACTTAGTGAACACACTATGATATGAATTTGTATTTTCTTTGTATTTTTGAAACGGCAATCTATATTTTTCAAATTATTTCGAGTTTAAATTAGCAAAACAGTCAGTTTTGTTTGATTAGAATATACAAGTAAGTACTGTTTGATATTTTTCAAGCTCTGCATATTTTCTTTATATTTAAAATACTCAAATTAATAATAATTCATCGGTATTCATGAATGATGATCTATTCCAATATAATTATTTATCAAACCGTCATCTTGTAGCACACCTACACCTCTCTTTTCTATTGCATTAGGTGCATTTAAAAGTTATAATTTTTATTTACCGGTGTAAAAATAAAACATAGGAACGAAGCTTTAATAACTTCATAAATAATAAATGGTTGGTCTCAAAACCAAGCCTTGCCGAGTCTTAATCTAGACTTACCCTCTCGAGACCTAATCACTAGACCTCTTACAGCTCCTTCCTTTACAACTCTCTCTCCACTCTAGAAATTGGAAGCCAACTAAATGCTTTCATTATCTTGTTGCCTTTCATTGGGTTGAAAATAGCATCGTAATTAAATAATGTTGGATTGAGTGGGTTCAACAATTATTAATTTTAACTTATGCAATGAAAAACAGAAGCATAAATATTATTTGTGAAAATAAAATGCTTGGAGATATTCAATCGCTTAAGCATCTCATTTATAACCTAGGCAGTCTTAATAATTGTGGGAAATATTGTGCACTCGATCATTATCGTCATTCACCTATTGGGAATAATATTGTACAATATTATGTTACTCTCCCCAAAGTTGAATTGTAAAATAAGTATGAAAAAAGTGTTAAACTTATGCTGGATATGTAATTTAATCTCTTATAGTATGTAGCAGAGACAGCTGTTATTTGAATGGTTATTTGTAATGACGTTTAATATTTGTACACACGACTGTCTCTTGTTGAGTTATATTTGTACAGACAACTTTGTCATGGCTGGAAATAATTGCACAGGTAACTGGGCCATGGCTGGAAATGATTTCTCAGACAACTGGGCCATGGCTGGAAATGATTGCACAGAGAACTGTGCCATGGCTGGAAATGATTGCACAGAGAACTGTGCCATGGCTGGAAATGATTTCTCAGACAACTGAGACATGGCTGGAAATGATTGCACAGAGAACTGAGACATGGCTGGAAATGATTGCACAGAGAACTGTGCCATGGCTGGAAATGATTGCACAGAGAACTGAGACATGGCTGGAAATGATTGCACAGAGAACTGAGCCGTGACTAATTCCACCGGGCGAATGTCACGACTCATGATCAATGGTTCAAGTGTTTTTTTTATAGTAGGCTAGTTCAGTGTTTCGTTGTCACTCCACGGCCCCCCCGAACAAGGCTGTGGGTTTTGTTCTTATTACTCCGACCGCGAAGTGTCAGAGGTTGCGAGACGTCGGATTTGAGTACTTCACTGAAGATTTTTATCCTTTTAAATCTTCCTTTTTTGGATAATAAATGTGCCTTTTAAGTTTTATTCTTGGCCGTTTGTGAGAACTTTCTTTATGGAGTAACTTTAGTACGCCCCGCGCGCCTTTTGGGTAAGTTTTTCACATTTTGCTAAAGTTAGGTTATTGCCTCATGTTGCACTAGGTTTAGAACCTAGTCTTGGGGTCGTGGAAGATTTTTGATAGTTAGTTTCCCTGTTCTCTGTTGTTTTGTATAATTCAGGGCTTTGCCCGAAATGCTAGGCCTAGAATTGACTGAGAAATGTTTGTTGGAAAGCCGCTATTTGAGAGAAACTGCCAAGTCAGTTTTGGGTCCTTCTGACTGTTTTGTGGTAGGCCTAGGCTTACAATTTTTGCTCAGTAAATGTTATTGTCTTAGACTACTACTCTGGTAGTCTTTTGTTTCTGTGTCCCGTACAATTTTTAGTGTTGTTTTGTCTTGTAAAATGTTCAGTTTGTGTTACCCAGTCAAGTAAGGTTAAAGTCTTTTATTTTGCTTTGTCCTTGCCAAACTAGTTAAATTAAGTTGTATTAACTGCTCTTAAAGCTCCCCTGAAAGTTTGAGTCATTTTACTCAAGTTTTAAGAAAGTTACAGTAACTTTTAGTTTGGCAACTTTTCATTCAGGTTTGAACTGGGTAACCAATAGGCCAACTGGTTTCAGCCTTTGAGTTAAGGTTTGGGATGGTCTGGAGAAGCTGCTGGAACATTTTCCCCAGCTTTTGAGACCATTCCGAACAAATTCGGAGCACAACTTTTGGAGAAATTAGCAAAAATACATGAGTCGTTGCGTTAGGCCTAAATTTTTTGTATGGAACGTTTTTTGTCAATTTTAAAGTATTTTTCTGTGTTTAAGTGTCAATTGTTCTCTGTTAACTTGTTCTTCTGGCCACTTTGGACCAGGTAATTTAAATATTTTCTCTCTATTGGTGAAATTTATCACTGTCACATACCCGTATAGTCTGCTGGCATTTTTACCGCAAATTAATGTTACCATTCTTGTACTGTTTAACCTGTTAGTTGTTTTATTTAAAATATTGTTATTGTTTGAAATGTTTTATTTTGTTAAAGAGCTGTGATAGAGAGACAAACCTTGTAAAAATTTAGAAACTTTTGAAATAAGCAATTGTTAGGCCTAATCAGTGAAATTTTGGAACTCAGTGAAATTTTGGAACTAATTGTGAATGGTGAAAGCTGTGACAGTGAACCTTGCGGATATGGACTCAGTCTATTATTCTTACTACCTTGTTTTCTGGGTTTTGCCACTCAGGGCCCGTGAGGAGGAAAATGACTGACCATCTTCAGCGGAGAGGAATGTTGCGACTAGGCTGGCGCTGCATATTGGCCCCCTCTCCGCCCTGCCTCTTCTCTCCTCCGGTGCTGTCCGCCCAGCTTCATGGCCCTCCGGTGTCACACCCTTGAAGACTGTTACCGCAAGTTACCGACTAATTGTTATTTATCTAATTGTTATATATATTGCTGTTGCCTAATCATCCGATTTTAAAATCTCTCCACTGTATTTAATTTTTGGGGCCCCTAGTTAATTGTTAACTTTTCAGATATTTATTAAAAGAGTCATCATATTTTATTATTGTTATAGTTTGTTAATTTTGGTAATTTCCTTTTATTAAATGTTAAATTTTTACTAAATCCTTCTGATTTTCTGAATGATTAAAATAAATTATTGTAAGTCAGCAGCTTAAACGGGTACCTAAATTTTATTTAAGGTTTATTGAGAGCATTTAATTCATGTATTGTTGTTGATTATTGTTGTTGTGTTTTCTTTTAAATGGTTAATTACAGCTCGTTTCTCTCAAATGGCGTGTTGTTCTTGAACCTCCATCCATGGTTCTCATTTTGTTAAGTAAAGTTTTGTGAACCGCTCCTCGGGCCTGCGCATGGATCACGCTTCCATTTCGTTAGTCTGGGTGCAGGCACGAGGGCATGGTTCATCTGGTAGCAGAGCGTGGTTAGTGGGTTGCGTCTTGGGTGCCTTGTCGTGAAACTTGGTTTCACGACTCGGATACTTAGGGATGCGATCACTGTCCACGTTCTATTTTTTGTTTTGTTTGAAGAGCCGTGGATGGATTGGTTTCTTGGAAATGTTCTGGCCTGGCAGTTTTGGAAAAGGGTCTTGTTGTTGTTGTGGTGGGGCGTAAACACATTTTATTAGGAGCTCGCCCTTTGGCCGAGGCACCGGGTGGAATCGGTGGTAATGACTTGCATCCTTCGGGAGCAAGA